TATTTTCTGGGTCCCTGCTATCTGCTCAGCCCTGCACAAGGAGCTGTGGAGGCTTAAAGAGAAGACGTAGTTTCTCAAAGCCAACTAGCACACAATCTGGGGAGATAATGAACATGTGTGGAATAATGAGATAGTGCATGGCGACAGGATATTATTAAATCTGACACTGTGCGATACTCCCTGTTTCCTTCCCAGTCAAAATCAGTGGCAATTTTCGACACCCTCATGTCGGTTAGTGACACCTACGTTTTAGCAATCTCTCTGGCTTAGGAGCTTGGAATGACCTTGCCTTATTCTTACTTGCCCCCTCCCCATCTGGTCCCTCACTGAGTCCCACAGAATGGTTGAGTGGTTGGTTGCTCACAAGTGCCTCCCACCCTCCATCTTCTCTCTGCTCAAACTGTTGTCACAATCTTCAGCTTGAAATTCAAGAGTCCCTTATAGTTGGCCCCACATCACTCTCCCTCACAGCTCCTCCATGAGTCCAGCTCTGGCTGCACGGTCACACACACCTGCCTCAGAGGTTTCTGTCTGCTCCTCTTTATGCCTTTGCTTCTGCCGTTTCTCCCATGTCTCTTTCTTTTTCTCCAAACTCCATCATTTCTTCGAGGTCTGGTAGAAACTTGCCTTCTCTGGTGGTCCCTGCAACTGAGAATAAACAAATTACACCCTTCGCAATGGCTGCAGTTTTCTCTGTAGCAACACTGCCAGCCACCCCTTGAAACTTCTTTTGGCATTTGAGACTCACGGCCTCAAGTGATGGAGAACAATATTAGGCTTAGGCTCTTGAGACCTCATAAGTGACTGCCGCTTACTAGCCGTACTCGCTCAGGCAAGTCACTGACTCATACTGACCCTCAGTTTTCACCTCTTCATTGGGGGACTAATTCCACTCACCTCCCTGGGTTGCTAGTGAATGTGGCGTGTCTTTGCCAAATATGCAATGCCTTAAATGTATTGGTTATTATTGTGGTCATGTCTTCTGTTAAAAGAGGTGGAAGCTGGGCTTGGACCCTTTTTATACTCTTGAAATTTATATCAGTAAGTGTTTATTGGGCACTTGCCGTTTATCTAGCCCTGTGCAGTGCACTTAGAGGGTTAAAAGTGAAGGCATGGTTTCCAGCCAACAAGTTCACACTCTGGGAAGATAATGAACACATGTGGAGTAATGAGGCTGTGAGATTGGACAGGGTGTTATTAACTTTGATGTTGTGTGGGCCTGCCTGAAAGCAGGGTAGGTCTTCTGAGAGGGGGGCTGGGAAAGCTAGAATAATGGGGGAAGGCTTCTTGGAAGAAGCAGCCCGCAGCCAGGGCTTGAAGAGTGGGTGCCCCCTGGGCAGGTGAAAAGAAAGCAGGAGGGTTTTCTCTAGACAGAGAGATTTCTCTGTAGAAGCATGGCCACCCTGACCAGGGCTAGATGAGAGGGACTCCCCTTTAGTCAGGAGCTGTGCTGGGTGCTTATTTGCATTGCATCACAAGTGGGGAAGAGGATTTGGAAGCTGGAGGATTTGGAAGCTGCTCATAGACAGTTCCTCATTCGCAGATGAGAAACTGAAGCTGGGGTGCTAATAGGTTAAGAGGAGAGGAGAGTGTTCACAGGTGCTAACTGCATTTGACATACTGAGAAGAGTTCCATTTTGGATCCAGCATTCTCCGGTTTGACCTCCTCTAGCTTCTTGGAGGGGGGATTCATGTGCATTGTCTCCCGCTGGGTGTATACCAGGCATAAACGGGCAGTGGGGGCTCCACAGCGTCTCTAGAGAAGGGGTTTAGAAGTGATCGCGATCTGGGTGGCACAGCCGCCATGCTGCATTTATGAGTGCAGAAGCTGAACCCCCAGGCTGTCTCTTGGTGAGACCTCTGATCTTACAATCTCTGGGGGCTGCTGTTACTAGCTCCATCCATTTTACTGGGTGAGTAATTCATGTACCTACTGTTATTGCCAGGGTGCCATCATTTTCCCAGTTCCTGGCAAAGTTAAAGATATGCTATCAGGAGTCTTTTCAGAAAACACCTCGCTGCTGTCTAATCTTTATAGCCCCCCATCTCAAGCAACCTTGACCCACAGCCTGTTAAGGAGATGGGGTGCTGAAGGCTGCTCAGCTCACCGGGAGAGCAGGTGATAGCACAGGCTGGGGTGATGCTCACAGCCTTTGTTCTTTTATTTGCCCAGCCTTGAGCAAACAAGTCACAATAAACTACATGGCATTTGGATATTGAAATGCAAAGAGAAAGCGTCTGGAAGAACAATAAAGGAGTTACAGCCCAGGTTGTGTGCAGGAGGAGATTACATTGTTTAATTCCACCCAAAAGCACAGTGGTTTTCTAAACATGAATGGTTATCTGAGGCCTGGGGAAAGCCTGGTGTCTGTGTTTCAGTCTTACATTTACCTTATTTAACTGGATGCTGACTCAGAATTTGTAGGCAAGACATATGCACCCATTTTAGCTAAGCCTCATGAATGGTATGAGAAAATGCCAGGTGTCAGAAGCTCCACTCTCACTGGGAAGGAAAATCAGATAAGAACAAAGCAACTGAGGAACAATAAAGACCCAAACCAAGAGACAATAGGTCCCTAAGCTCAGACACCTCTTCCAGGAATCTTTGTCTTTCCTGGTAATCAATTGCTTCTTTCCTCCCCTCTGGAATCCAAGACACTTGGCTGGCACTTCTGTCGTTGCACAGAATTAGGATTATACCTTTATATAGTGAATTCTTTATACATTTCTTTCTCTCTTTAGACCCGGGGTCAGCACACTGTAGCTCATGTAGTTTTGGCAGACAAAGGTCTATTGGAACATGGCCACACATTTGTTTGTGCATTGTCTCTGGCTTCTTTTATGCTAGAAGGGCACAGCTGGTTCTTGCAACAGAGATGATCTGCAAAGCCAAGAGCATTTACTATGTGGTCCTTTGCAGAAAAAGGGTGCTGACTCCCAGTTAGACAACACACTGGTAGAGGGCAGGGACTGGGTCTTAGTCCTATCTCAACCCCTAGGCACAGTGCTTTGCACATTAATGCGTAATTAAAGGAAGAAGTGTCCACACAGGAGAGAATGAAGAGCATCGAGGGGAAATAGTTCAATTACTTAAGAGAAAGAGCCATTTTCAAGGACTTTAAAAGCTTTCATTTACGTATTCAGAATTGATAAGCTAATTGCACCACAATATTGCCTTAATGTTCAAGCAGCCCCTCAGGTCTCCTTATATAACACCTTATTAACCTAGTTGGAGGAAAGCTGCTGTTTCTAGACAATAATAAATTTCACTTTCTATAATTCAGACTAATTCTCTCCCTACCACGCCAATCTCTCTTTAGTCTGAATTAGACCTTAGCTAGACAGTCCCTCTGAATTGGAAATGAATAAGAAAATAATCTAGTAGAGCGTTTCTCAAACTGAAGAGGCTGGTGAGTGCAGCGCCATTTTATCCACTATGCACTATAGACCTGGTACTCAGAAGCCCCAAGCTTCCCCGGGGCTAAGAAAATGTTTGCCAAGTGGAAAGTTAAAATAATATTGCCTTCCAAATTAACATTCCTTGCAACTAAGCAAAACTAATATGAAAAAATGTTTAATTAAAAATCTACTAAGCAAATGACATGATGCCATCTTTGACTCAACTAGAGTCATTTGTAAATTATATTAAATGGGAGAGATGAGTGCGTTTTAAGATGTTTGGCATGCTATAGAGGTAAAGTCTCCAGATGTGGGAATGGGTGCAAGGGAAGACACACATTTTGTGGGGTCCAAAGTTCATGCAATTTTAGAGGATACAAATACAACAGTATCTTACTTTTGCAAATCTTACACAAGCCTACGAGCAGATGAACAATTTGTTAAGCCTTAGACTTGAATGCTTCTGGAGCCTTGGACTGACTTAGGCAAGTGAGGGGCACTGGAATTTAATTTCTATCAGTCTGATGGTAAATATTCTCTTGAGTGACTGGGTTGTTAGAACGATGTAGTCTAATAAGGCGGGGAGTGCTGTCGGCCTAAGCTCAGAAAGTCACCAATTTCCAAGACCTCTTTAAAGGTTCTGAGAAGTCCTGAAGTTCAGAGCATTAATTTTAATCTACCCAGAGTTTCCAAGACTTGCTTTTGTCATACAGACTCTCTCTGGGTGACTATTTTGAACAACTACGAAGCAGTCTGGGAAAGGCTGACTGTGTACTCCCCTTCTCCCCAACTCCTCCCCTTTAATTTTCTGGAGGGGTCCACTGTGGCAAGGACTCTGACCCCTCTACTGTTCTTAGGACAGAGCTGGGACTCTCCCAGACTTTGGGGTTCAGACAGCAGGTCAGAAAGGTGCTTTCCTGGCAGAGGCTGGTTGGGAGGAGAGCGGTCGTCTTAGAAGACAGGGTTAGATCTACTTATAAAAGATTTCTAGTGTAATATAATCCTTTCCTTAAAAAAAAAAAAAAAAGATTCTGCAGCTCAGACATATCCTTGCTCAGAATTTTAAAATAATGGGGCATTTTGACTCAAATGAGGGCAAAAGGGCTTGATGTGTGGATTCCTGTGCCTCACTTTCTATTAGCATCGTCTTGTTTTTTTTTTTCTTTAAGAGTTTGGTGCAAGATTGGTAACATAATTTGCAGGTCTCTGTGCAAAATAAAAATGCTGGGGACCCCTGTTCAGTATTATTAAGAACGTCAAGAGAGTGATAGCAGAACATTCAAAGTTCAAAGTTCTGAAGATATTTAAAGTCTGTATGGAAGATCTCATGGTTTAAGAGAAGACAGTGATTTTAACATAATGGGCCAGATCTGGGCACCGGGCCATGGAGGTGCATTTTTACGGGGTGGATCATTAATTGAGCATTCTGAGCATCACTTAGCCTTTTCAATGATTCATCAGTGAAGCTGCTGCTGCTGTGTAGTTCACATTATCATAATTAGCTGGCACTTCTCAAGTGAAAACCCTGCTCTAACCTGGGTGTTTTCATAAACAGTGCTAGTGACTATGTATCCAAGGTAGATGGGGTCAGCATGCCATGACTCTCTCTCCTCCTGGTTTGTAATAATTAACCTCTTCTATCAGGGGACTCAGTCTAATTGTCTTTCCTGTAAACAGTTGGTAATTATGAGTAAAGTAGTGGGGCAAGAAAGTGAGAATACAGGAGGGAACTTCTCCTGTTCCCAGGGCCTGCGTTTTCAGCAGCAGCAGCAGCAGCAGCAGCAGCAACGTGCCATGTGCCGCGAGATGTGACAGCAGTAGAATCGGATCGATCCTTTCACTACTTCATGGCCTAAGTTTTCAAAGGAACACTCTTTGTAGGTGAGGCAAAGCAGATATTGATAAGGGATTTCTGGACTCCTGCACCCCCAATGTGAGTTGAGGAGGGGTTAGAGACCCACTCTGAGGTGTCTCTACCCCCTCCTTAATCCTTTCTGGGCCAGGATGCCCAGCAACCTCTTCCCAAGTACGTGATCACCCTCCGCCTCCCAAGCCTTCCACCTGAGGGACAATTGGCTGTGGCACCCACTCCAGCACCCAAACAGAAGCTCCTCTGGGTCTGCAAAATGGCTGGCATCATCTCTTCCAAGAAAGGAGGACTTTTTCCAACGGCAGTGAGAGTAAGGTCTGGATCAGGGGAGAGAGGACGGCATGCATGTGTCTTATTTTTTTACTTCCAGGCCAGTGAGGGCATGTGTCCTTCACCCTTGAAAACAGTAGTGGTTTTATTTAACTAGTTTCTACCCTTTTACTTTCAAACTCTTTTTGATTCCTGGCAGCAAGCATCCATATCACCGCCTGCAGAGCTGAGGGGACAGCAGGAGGGAGAGAAAGTGAGGTCCAACAGTGGCCTCTGCCTGTGCTCTGTGGGGCCGTGGAGTTGGGGATCCTGAGGCCCAGAAGGTGGGACAGCAGTGGTGGACTTTGGCCAAATGCATGACTTTGGCTAAGAGCCTACTCCTTAAGGGAGGATGGGACATCTTCTGTATTTACCCAGATAGTAGGCCATGTGGATTGTGGGAAGAGTCATCTCTATTTAACCCATGCTGTAGATTACCTGTGTTTGCGTGTCCTTTTGTTTACTCTCCTGTTCCCAAAGCAAATGGTTTTGAGACAATCTTTGCTGAGATACACATTTCATTGAGGGCAGGTTAATCATTAGCTTGAGAGCGAGGGTGTCAACACAGGTACAGTTTACTTATTTGTTTCTAATTGCAGTAGAGAAACCCTAATTAATTAATAACTTTCTGGTGAGGGGAGATGAATTGGGTCACCATCCACTCCTCTTTTAAGGCTAGCTTTAACTTCTTCCTGGTAACCTATCAGTGGTTTTCACCTTAGAAGACTCAGCCTTAGAAGACTTTCCTTATTGTCACAATTGACCTTCTCTACGACCTTGGGCAAGTCCCTCTGTTTTTCAGGGCTTGTGCTGTCCCATCTATAAGCAGAGGGCACTTTGTCTTCACAGACTTTTCACTGCCTGGAGCTGAGGGCACAGAAACAGAAAGTCAAAGTCAGAGGTAGACAAAATGGTTTATAAGCTTTCTTTACTCTTATAAAATGCAGTGCCAAGTAACGCCCTGGGGTTACCCACATTGCTCGCAGCCTCCTTTGAAGATGGGAATCAGTCTTCCAAATGGGCCAGGACCCAGCATGGCTTCACCCACTCCTTAGTTGGGGTGCATAGTGAGGTGTGCTTAGCCTCTGCCAGCACAACCAGGGTACCAGGGCAGGCTGAAGAAGAGGGTGGAGGGCAAGGGAGCAGATCTTATCCTTTCTGTGACTTTTCTCAGGAAGCAATGGTAGACCAGTAGTGACATCTGCTCACAGCTCTCTAACTTCATTGGGGACACTGAGGAGCTACTATTTTTCACTCTATTCTTTTGTTAAAAATATTAAAAGGCAAGAAAACATGGTTTTTAGACTTTTCAAGGGAACTGCAAACATCACAGTTTGTAAACATTCCCTTCTTCCTGCCTAGCTTCTGGGGAAGGACGCCTAGATTCACTCAGTCACTTGCCTGGAACAATAGATAACCACAGCTCCAGTCCATTCCATTGCCACATGGTGATGTTTGAGGATCTTGGGCCCAGGAGGGCCAACCCCCAGGGTTTTGCAGCCAACAGCCCACCTGCTTTCACTGGGGCAGTGTTTTCTGGCTACAGAGCATACTCCTGCCCACCTCTGATGTGCTTGTCTGGCCTGAGCCTTTGGGCATGCCCAGTGGGGTGTGCTTCCTTCCCTTGGAAGATGCAGGCTGAGGTCCAGGGAGGTGATGACAGAAGGCCCAGCCAGGTAGAGCCAGCAGCTGCAGTAAGACGAGGTGTGTTGGCGTTGATTCTGGGATTCTGTATACTGACCAGCTGTCATGCATGGATAGCTCAGGGGTCCGAGAAAGCACCTTTCTATCTGGATTTTCTTCTCTCTGGTAGCCTTTGACTAATGTTCAGAAAATTTGCCTCTTTGTAGCTTGGGACTCCCACCAAGAAAGTTTCTATGCAGGCTGCTACCTCTAACAAGAACAGAAAGTCCCAGCTGGGCTTATGAAGAATGAAATAAGTCCCAAGCCCGATCTTTCTGAAAAGTTGTTATTAAATTCTGTGCATGGTCCTGACCTGGATTTAAAGATTTGCAAGAAGACAAATTCCAAACAGATGCCCATTAGGGCCCTGACAGCCGCAGCTTAAAGATAACATTTACATTCTGCTTGGGTTTGTATCTCTCTGTTCCCAGCTCAGCCCCTCTCCCGCCTCCAGTGGGATCAATACCTCGGTTGAGGTTACCTTGGAGGTGGCCACATTCTTTTAAGCTGTTTGCTTAGCGCTTGGTTTGCTCTGCTAACACGCCAGGCACTTCTTCCAACAGGCCTGTTTGCCCAGTATTAGGGCTGTTTGCCGAAACACCTACCCCAATCCGAGGGGGCTCAGCTTTCCAAACAGTTGGTCCCCACATCTGTCAATCAATAACACCAATCGGGTTCCTGATAGGGACAGCAAGTGTGGCCAAGTCCAATATTTGCCCGAACATCGCCCCCTTCCCCCACACCTGACTCTGCCGGAGCCTGAGAAGGCGGGCATTCGCCAAGCGCACAGGCTGCCGGGAAGAGGCAGTGCAGCAAACAGGGAGCTGATTCCAAGAAAGAAGGGCATGCGAGCAAACATGATCGCTCCTTTATGAGAGGTAATTTACTGAAATACACAGCGATTACCTGCTCATCCAGCCCTGGTGTAATTAAAAATGGCAGGCTCGGGGCTGTGGTTTTTCCCAGAGCTGGCAAAGGAACCTGAGTTTTATCTTTTGAAGCTGGAGGTTGGATCTAGGAGTTGGCTTGGAGTCATAGGAGATTGGAGGGACATTTGGATATTATCAAACCCACAAAATCAACTCCCGGGAAGGACAAAACGATGGCAAGAGGAAATATATCCTAAAAAGAGAGAAATGTTTAATTGGGTACAGGCTTTTCTTGTTTTGGAACTTGATAGAGGTATTGGTTTGCAACAGTGTGAATGCACTAAATGCCACTGAATTGTTCACTTTAAAGTGGTTAATTTTAGGTGAATCTCACCTCAGTTGGGGAGAAAAAAAGAGTGAATCTCAATGAGCCCAGGACGTTTACATTTGAGAGGCTCTAATGCCTAACTCAGGCTTTGGCTCAGAGTAAATGCTTAATAAATGTTTATTGAGAGAACAACCTAACATTTGCACAGTCAACAAAGCGCTTTGTTACACATTAGCTCATTTCATCCTTAAAGAGCCCTGTGAGGTGGGCAGGGGTAAGTATTCTCCCATTGAAAAGCAGAAACTGAGGCTTAGAGAGTATAGCTTTCATACTGTCACATAGCTAGTAGTGGCAGTGCCCAGATTTGAACCCAAAAGTCTCTAGCTCCAAAATCTGTGCACATAAAACTACATTAGTATTTTGTCTACCTCATGGCTTCTAGGACAGGAAAGAATTGTGGTCTTACAAATAACCCCTCCCCCTACTTCTTTTAGGGTATTTATTCCTGAAAATGTTAAAACCGGCAAAGACACCCATTCTCCCCACAGTTCCTAGCACAGTGCTTGATAAATATTTACTAATTCATTCAGCTGCAGAGACCAAACTGTGGTTGCTGTGGCGACTGTCCAGAACAAAGCTCAGGCAGGTGAGGGTATTAGTGAAGCCAAGGACTCTGGCACTAAGTGTCTAGGAGGAGGAGCTGGGTCTGTGATAGTGACTTCCAGAAGCCTTTGCTGGGGGCAAGGTGTCCTCTAAACACCAAAAGTACCATGAGGGGGAGCCTGGTGGTGGCTGGGCCATTTCACCACGGTTGCTTGTCAGTCTAGGTGGTGATGGTGTGGCCCCTGGTTCAAAAATTATTAAGAATGTTAAGAAGGAGACAGTAGAACATTAACTCAGCACGTATCCCTCTGAGGGGCCAGCATTGCCTGGTTTCCCAGTGAGCAGCAATGTGGGATCTGCGTATGGAGCCAGGAAGCCATGAGGCTAGGAGGAGGAGAAGGCTATCTCCTTCCCAGGGTGCCCCCCCACTCCCTTTTGGAGAATTCCAGTTAGCTTCCTCCTTCACCCCATGGGGATAGACAGAACTGGCTTCAGATCTGCTTGGGTTGCCACCAAGAAGCTGTTTGACTTGAGATGGCGGCATTTAACTTCTTGGAGCCTCAATTTCTCGGTTATAAAATGGTGCCAATACTTTTTTCATTAGGTCATTGAGAGATTGAATGAGAGGATGCAAAAGATACATGGTGCCCCTCTCATAACCAGACTACGCTGGACTGAGTTCCCTCTCCACACTACGAAGGATATGAGTTGGCTTACAAAGACCTATACTCAAGAAAAAACATACATTGATTGAAAACTGAAATGTTTTCAGAGGCTAAGCACAGAGTAGATATGAGACAGGCCACAGGGAAGTGCTTAGGGAGTGATGTGGACTGTGGTAAACTGGAAATTTTGTGCCTTACCTGAAGCCACCTACATTCAAAAGAAAAAATTTAAACTTGCAGTAGTTCTGCAAGTTATAAGGCTGAGGAAGCTCATTTTGAAACCTCTGAAACAACATGTTGAAAATTGGGAGAGGGAAGGTATACACGAGGTTGACGCCAAGGGGAGAAATTGAAATGCCACGAGATCCTAGAAGGTGAGCTATAAATTTGGCTTAGAACTTCTTGGTGACAAAGCAATAAAGGCAACATAATCAGTTACATGTCTATGAAGGAAAAATACATAGCATTTCCTGTTAGCCATCTCTGGCAGACTCCTTTGGGGCATCATTTAGAGTATCTTGACCAGTGTACTAAGTGTGGGGTGATGGGCGCAGTTCTCCAGCGTAAGCAATAAGCAGGTGTAGAGGAATTAAAAAAAAAGAAAAACAATAAATTTGACTGAAGTTAGGTCTGCTTTTATTACCACTGCACACTGTCAATTACAAACGATGTTAGCGATAAAACACTCCTCCATGAAAAAATTGTACTTGGCTTAAGGTATAAACAATTGTCATAGTATTGTGGAGTATAATAATAGCAATAAGTAAATAATCTTCATGTTAGGACAGTTTTATTACATATCTTTTAATAAACATTTTATTGTACATGGAAGTTAATTTGGAGAACTCCTAGTTAAAGAGTTCGCTTCCAAAATGTGGACCCACCATATGCATTCATTTTAAAAGTTATTTTGTCAGGTGACAGAATTGTTTGCATTCTCTTCGGGTACAGTTTGTGCCTTCAAGTCCCTGTGGTATCATGTATTTTCGTGTTTAAAAAGTAGATTTGAAATGAACAACGCAGTGATTGTAAGGATGAAAAAAACTGTAACTTGAGTTCTTTCAGTCATTCTAGGTGACCACTGGAGTTTATTTTGTTTAAAATTTAAAACAGTGAGAGAATGTAAACTGTCAGGTATAATATTTTTGTTTAGTTAAATACATAATTTAGTTCATGCTTCACCTACTTTACTAAATTTTAATAACATTTTAAAAATCGAAACTTAAAAAAAACTCTTTTAAAATGACAGAACAAAATCCAGAAAATGGATTTATCAAAACATTAAAACTTTCGTTGACATTTTGGGCTTATTAAAATTCTTAGCTACTGGATAATTATTTACATAAATTATTATTATATCAGGCTGTAACCAAAGGGTCATAGTTCAAACTGATAGGAATGTATAAATCATGATGTCTTTTTGTCCTGAAGGAACTTGCAATGCCTTGCAATATTGTGAAATCGGCAAGTGGTTCATAATTATTCTGAAGTTCTAAAAAAATTCCAAGTGGAGCATCTGTACCTACCTGAAATGACACAAATTCAGTGAAGCTCAATGAAGAAAAATGAAAAGAGAAAAAGAGGATGCCATCCAAACACAGTCTGGATGTATTCAAAATATGTAACACTTTGGAAATCATGTGTACTTAATGAAAATTCTGAAGAAATGTCAACTGGCATATCTAGTGCACCCATGCTATTGTTACTCATTACATTTCATGATTTTTACTGTAAATAATTTTTGTTGTTTGAAAGAGGAGTGAGTTAAAAAATTATCTGCCCAGGTGTCAAGCACACTAGGTATACTGATTTGCCACCTCTGGTTGGGCTACATGGGCTGAGTGCCCTGGTGTGGGGTCTTGTACGGGGCCAAGGTGTGGCAAAGTCAGGCCCCTTTCCTAATGGGCTCCTACTTCCTTGAGAAGGGGCTTCTATTCAGGCTCTTATGTTGCAAGGAACAGACACCCGTTTAGGCTGACTCAAGTCAATGGGGTTCAGCTGTTCAGCGTCTTGTTCCATAGCCCTGTCTCATCTTTACTGAGACATGGTACCGAGGCTGGCAAGGAGACCCGGGGAATGTCACCAGTCCCTGGGGTTGCCTCAGCTCATAGCAGCCCCACCATATACCTTTTGACAACTTGGTGTTAGAGTAGAGTCATCTAAAAGAGGCAAATGGGTACAAAGTTTTTTCCCGATGCCCTTTGGGAAATTCTTATTAACTCCATCAACGCAGTCAACAAACACGTATTAAGTAGCTTCTTTTGGGCCAGGCCTTGTGTGGGTGACTATGGGTAACAAACACAGACAAGAGGGCAGTGCCTGCCTTCACCAGGGAGCTGGAACATTCATGCGCATGGCTGCAACTCAAGAAAGTAGGAAGCAGCTCTAAGAGAGGCGGGTACAGTGTTATTAGGAGAATTCAAAGAAAGGGTGAGAGAACTTTGCCCTAGGGGCCCCACGAAGCTCTGGGAGTCTTTGTAGACTCTGAGATAGCTGAGAGAGGACATCTCTTGAAGGCCGATATATTCTTCTCATATGCCGTGTTTGTATCTGAGAACCATCACTTACCAGCTCTGTGACCTTAAGCAAGTCTCTCCTGCCTTCTGGGACTCAGCTCCCTCCTCTGAGAAATTGGAGTGGGGGGCAGTAGTCCAACCTCACGGCTGAATGCAGTGAGTCAAAGTAAGGCTCTTGTAAAGCTCTAGCCCTCCCCAGAGGAAGTGCTTATTAATGCTGATTTATGTCACACCTCCAGGGTCTCCCATGAGACTCCCCTTCATGGGCAGTTCTCATCGCTGATGAACAGTAAAATCAAGAGCTTAACTTGCACCTTCACTCAGGGAAGGCCTTTCTGTAGGGGCTGAACCAATGTGGTTCTCTGGCGAGTAAACCCAGTCCAAACATGGAATGTCTAGAGGAACAGACAAATACCGTGGCTCTGGTACAACCTTCCTCAAATATAAATTGTCTCAGCAGAGCTTTTGAGAGAAGTGGGTAACTCTTCTAAGATATAAATTGTCATTTTGTTGCTAATAATAATAATGAGAATAATTGCTGGGCTTCTGCCCTGAGATCATAGTCTTACTGTAGGCAAATCTCATCACTCACCCAAGGACTGGCCTAGTACCCAAAATAATAATGCCAGCATTCCCTACCCTCAGAGCCTTTTTAGAACTGTGTCCATGATCTCTTGACTCATCTCTAGATTTGGCACCTGTACGAAGGTCTATTAGTGTGTCAAGTCATGTATTTCAGCTACTTTTGCTAAATTACCTGATTTAATCTTATGGCAGCCATGTGAGGCAGGTCGCCTTATCTCCACTTTACTGTGCAAGAGCCAGAGCTGGGATTTGAACCCAGGGCTCTCAGAGTCCAGAGCCCAGGCTCCTAGGTCCAGCCTCTTTGTTCTTTGACAGAAGCAGTTCTACTTCCAGGAGTCACAGACTAAGATGGCCACCTGAAATAGGCTTCTGAGAAAAAGAAAGAACATAAAATAAAGGTCTTAAGGGGAGAGGGGAGATAAGATAAATGGGGTAAGGGGAGTCAAATATGTGGTGACAGAAAGAAATCTAACTATGGTAAGTGAATACACAGTGTGTGTGTATATATATATATGCCTTACTGTTAAAATGTACAGCTGAAACTTACTGGATTTTGTTAACCGATGTCACCATAAAAAAAAATTATTAAAAAAAATAAAACTAAAGGTCTTGACCTAATTCAATTAAATGTCTTATTTTCAGTCACCATCAAGTCAGAATTTGTAGAAGTATGATCAGTTCTGAGTCCAAGTCTGGTCATCTTGGAGCCCTCTCAAGGTGGTGAGAAACTGTTGAATTAATAAAACGCATTAAGATGATTGCAGGAGAAACAGTTTACGGAGGACAATATCCTGTTTGGAGGCATTTTCAAGTACTTTCAAATATACCCTTTTTCACACCAATAATTGATAGGCTAACCTAAAATTGTCCTTATTTGTTCATTAACATAAATCCCCCAAGGGCTCGCTGTGCAACACTTTATTAGATTGGATTGAGTAATGTATTTTAAAGTAATAAAATGACATTATTTTTTAATGTGGACTTTCTAGCCATTGACTGCCCTCTCTCATAGGTCTGAATTAGTGAGTTTTAATTGTGTGTAAAGAAGCAATAAAATAATCATTACTAAGATGATGAGGAGCTTCATTCATGGCAGACGCTGAGCTAGGCATGTCACATGCATCATCCTACTCAGCATCACAAAAATCCCTCGATGTGGGCACCACATGCCCCCACTTCACAGACTCGGAAGTCATGCTCTAAGGTAGTGGTCCCCAACTTTTTGGCACCAGGGACTCTTGCTGCTATGAGAATCCTGATGATCTGAGGGGGAGCTGAGGAGATGATGCTAGTGCTGGGGAGCAGCTGCAAATACAGATGAAGCCTCTCTTGCTCACCCGCTGCTCACCTCCTTTTGTGAGGCCTGGTTCCTAACAAGCCACAGATCGGGTACTTGTCCATGGCCTGGGGGTTGGGGACCCCTACTTTAAGGGATTAAACTTGCTCAGGGTCCCTGGGTGAATGAATGATGGAGCCAGGAGTCAAGCCCAGGTTTGTCACCTTCTTCAACACCCATCGAATGTGGCCAAGGTGCCAGAATCAATGATGCTGAATGAAGCTGAGTCTTTGGGCCCAGAAGACCTGGGTTAATAAAAATGAGAAGGGAAGAGATATAAATGAAGAGAGATATTAAGACATGTAATTGAATAGTTAGGGCTACCTATTGTTTATCTGATCAGGACTGACCCACCCCTAAGGAGTCTGGGGAAAGGAGGGATCTCGAATTGGGGAATTTTGCCTTCTCTAATCTTCCCATGTTACAGTGAGGTTACAGTCCAGAGAGTATAAGAATTTGCCCCAAATTGCAGAGGAGGTGGAAATAGGACTAGAGTTGGGTATCTAGGATGTGTGGGGAATAATGGGGATGGTCTTCTTAGGGCCTAGGGACTGGACCATGATGAGACCCACAAGGACCTGAGGAGGAGGGTAGCAGGACCAGTGGCAGCAAGGTTGGAGGGAGGTAAGACCCTGATGCCAGGGTGAGGAATCAGTGCTGTCACTTGGGGGAAATGCCAGTCCTGTTTACCAACACCTGTGTAGGGGCCTCTGAGCGCAAAGACACACGGGTGGTGCAAGTCTTACCTGAGATGTGACTTCTGCTCCAGAAACGGGGTGAAGTAAACATACAAACCAGGTCTTCAGACTACCATAGATCAGAAGCTAAAGAAATGGGGTGGGGTAGGAAGGAAAGGCAGAGTTTCCAAGGAAAAAAGCCCAGCATTCTCATTCCCTGAGGTGGAGAAATGTGGGCTGTCATGGTTTTGCATCAACAAAACTATGCTCAAGTCACTTTCGGGTTGAATTTAGAAAACATGGAGGGGGAGGCAGGGTGTGTACTTATGTGGGTACCGTACCCATCCATATCTCAAAAGCGAGTTAACCACTGAAAATGACCCAAGGGTTCTGGCAACAAAAATCATTCAAAATAGCCTTGACCCACTTCTCCCATAAATGGAAAGTCAGAAATAGAGAGCAGAATTCATATCTAGGTGGATCTTGAGTGCTCTGTCTCTCCGGCCCCTGTCTACCAAAATATTTCTCGCTTTAATTTTTCTCACTACCTTACATTTCACCGTTAGAGATTTATTCCTTTTGTTATTCAGTTTCCAAGAGTTCTCTACACAAGTGCAAAAGTTTCTGAGAGGAACAACAGGTAAGCTGGGAGAGTGATCCAGCTCAGACAACTGAGACAAGGGATTGGTTTCATTATGGGCCTGAGAGGCTAAAAGAGGTAAGTGAAGGAGAGGGAAAAGGACAGAGATGATCGTCCTCACTTTACAGAGGAGGAAACTGACACTTAGACGAATAAAGAAAGCAAGCACCAGTGTGAGGTAGGGGAAAGCCAAACCTCACCGTCTCACTTAAAATTGTGTGTCTTCAGAATCGTTTGAAGGCAACTCCAAACAATTTGTTTCAGAGGAAACAGGTGTTCATGGCCTTCCCTACTCTTACCTCCAAGGCAACCCAGGACATAGAGGCTGCATATGGTCCCTTCTCGAGCAGGCCCATTCATAAGCTTGATGGTAACTATGACTTGCATGCCTGGTCCTAAGTAATAGAACTGTGCCAATCAGACAAGAGTCTCTCTCTCTCTCATTTGAACTGAGACTTAAGGGTCATCATAGTTGGTGTCACACTGGAACTTGGAGGTCCAGTAGACTCAAGGATGGAGCGGCCATTGCAGGCTACAAATACCCCAAGGTTTGGAGTAAGGAGAAACTTGGGGAGCCAAACGGACAGGGAGAAGGAAGCAAAGGGACAAAGAACAATGAGGAAAGGTACCCAAGGGAGAGTATTTATTAATGTTATCATGGAAAATACCCCACTCCAGGGCAGAGACCCTAAAATGTGTGCCCAGTGCGATGTCGGGATTGCCGTGGAGCAGTGTCTGCGAAGGTTGTCCTCCACTTTTCCTCTTTCTAACTGGCTGTATTTATTAATGTTAGCTTGTGCTTGTTATATCATTGAATATCAAGTTTTTGGGGGGCAGATAACTTTAATCCTTCGGTCATTGGTCTCTGGATCAAGAGGTGTCACAATCAAGAGGTGATAAAGAGATTACTGTACTTCATGCTGATATGGAGACCCCATCATACCTCCGTGAGATCCTGCTCCTGAGCACGACACTGTGCCTAGGGGACTCTGGGGCTGTTCCTTGAGGAGGGGTGGGTGTATTTGTGCTTGCAGGAGGGAAAATGAGCCAAATGTTTGGTGACTCGAAGAGTGAATGAACCACAAGTCATCATAAATATGTTCTAGCTCCTTGACTCCTGGGCATCTGGTGGGATCGCACATCCAGGCTCCTTGTGTTAGGCTGGGGCCATGAAGCCTAACCTGGACAATGAGTTGTGAGTAGAAGTTTTAATGGTCTGTTTGAAACCTTTTAGTCTCAAACTCACAGTAGCCAATGATGTTCAAGATGGTGGTTGCTCCCTCCTCCTCGATCCTGGAGAGAGGAAACATGGAGCATCACTCCCAGGTAACTCACGTCTAAGTAAAAAACCTTTGTTGTTACAAGCTATTTCACTTTGGGTTATTCATTACCATGATATACCTGGTGCGTTCTGTCTTTCCCAGGGCTTACCTGTATATCTTTCCTGGATCCTTTTGGAAAGTGATGGAGGGTCTGCTGTGAGCTGGGGCAACCGCAGGCAACTGGTGACTTTCCTTGGGTCCCCTCTGCCAGCCTCAGTGCCATCACTCAGACCGTGGGACAGTAGTGCTGAACAGCAGAGGGCACCAAATGCCTGTCTCCACTTTCCCCTTCATGGTGCCATCACCATCACGTGGTGTTGGTGGAGCTGGCACTGTGGGAAGAAGGCACTCTGTAAGCAGGAGAGAGCTCAGGGCTTGCTCCTCTTTCATGTCACTGTAGTTGTGGACAAGTGTATGTAATCTGCAGGCTCACCCCGCAGTGAGCTTCAGAAGACTCTGGGACCAGGAGCGGCGGGCCCCAGCCTGGCCACTACAGAGCAGGCCTTTACTCTCACTTTCTCCGATGGCCTGGCACTGCCTTAGTTGTCATCATCAGAACCAGAGTCAGGCAAGGTGGGGAAGGCAGGATGAAGCATTATGGGCACTGCTTCTGTACAGTCGCCCACCCTGGCCTAGAGCTGTGGGCTCTCAGGCCTGCCCCAAGCTTCTGCTCCTATTACCCCAAATTCCATTATACTCCATCCATTTAGCTCACAGCTTTCATGTGTGTTGAAGTGCAGCCCTCTTCCTTTTTTTTTTTGGTGGGGGAGGGGTGGAAGGGCAAGACTACCAGCAGCTGTTTTCTAGATTGACACTACAGTGTGCATGAAAAATCTGAGAGCATAGTCAGCACGAAGAGCTTTGTCCTGGCAGTTGGACAGTGGTGCGATTGCCTCTAAGTCCCTTTCCTTCCCTGGTTCTCAGTTTCCTCCACTGTAAAAAGGGTTTTGGGGCCTACCAAGCTCTGAGCCACTTCCACCTTTAGTGACCTATGCTTCTGGGGTAAGGATTTGTTACTTAGGAATAGGAAGATAGCTTGGCCTTGGGGAACGGGTGGGAAGAAGAAGAGGAGATGGCTACAAGGAGAGAAAAGGGTGCAAGATGGGAAACTTGGGCCTTGGAGAGTCACTTGCTGGATGTGAAATTTTTCCAGGCGTGGCTGGATTACCTGCATCTGCTTGCCTTTCTTTATTGTTGGCATACATCTCAGTGTTTACACTATTCCAGATCATATAAAGACCAAGGTTAGGTCAAGACCATTACGCCTAACCCTGCTTGGCCCAATGTCAAACAGAAGAAGTTGCCAATGGCACCTGAGTCTCCTGCTCCCTAGGGACTGGCAG